ATCTACCTCCCCCCTTTTCCAGCTGGAAGCCGTTACTCCTCCATCCCTTGTCCAAAGCCGCTCTCCAGGTTTCCTGGAGCCCCTTTAGGCACTGGAGCTGCTCTAAGGTCTCCCTTCAGGAGCCTTCTCTTCTCCAGCTGCCCCAGCCCAGCTCTCTCAGCCTGGCTCCAGGGCAGATCTGCTCCAGCCCCTTACCCTCCTCATGGCATCCTCTGGCCTTGCTCCAACACCTCCATGTCCTTCTTTTGAAGGGTGCAGCAAAGATGATGCTGGAGACGGGGGAGCACCCGGCGAAGCTGCGAGGAGATGTCTGCACGCCCGGGGGCACCACCATCCACGCACTGCACCAGCTGGAGAAGGGCGCGTTGAGGGCCACTGTCATGAACGCCGTGGAGGCGGCCACCAACCGGGCACGCAGCATGGCCGAGGACTAACCCCGGGCTGGGGCGAGCCCCTCTTCCCCTATGGAGCAGGAGGGGTGATGGAGACCAGACCAAACCCCTCCAGGGAGCAAGGGGGACCCTGGCGCCCCCAGGAGACCCTGGTTGGGGTTGGAGATGGTGTGGAGCCATGTCCATGCCATATGCTACCTCTGCAAGGCTGGGACCAAATAAACGTGGGCACCACCATGGCAGGTTTGGTTCTTTTTGTTCCTTTCAGTCTTCAGGGCGCTACTGCAGCCACCATGGGGTCATCTCCATGGGGAGGTGACAGCCATGGCTCCTTGGGGCAGTACGGATGGAGCTGATGCCACGTTGGGTCTGTGCTCAGCAGGGATGGAGCTGGTTCTACACTCACTGGTGCTGTGCTGGGATGCATGGCACTGGGGATAGGATTTCAGGCACCACAGGAGCCAAGGACCATCAAAGGTGCTGTTGAGGATGCCAAAGGACCTTGAGAAGTGGGGAGCTGGTAGGATGATGCTCTGGGGTGAGCATAGAGGAAGGCTTTGATTCCCAGCTCAGTGCCAAGCAGGGATGCTCATGGACACTGATTCCTGCTCCTCTGCTCTGGAGGTACATGCGTGAACATGAAGCTGCTTCCACATCCCAAGAACATGGATGAGAAGTCAAACCAGCCAAAGACCTCCACCTCCCACCCCAGCCAGGCACCAGCATCACACCATAGTCCTGCAGGTGGGTCCAGCAATGCGGTGGTGGGATGGAAGCCCAGACCCGCTCTCAGCTCCTGGGTGCTGCACGTCAAGGGAGTAGAACCTCAAAATTTGCCTTTGTGGAGAAGATCTGGGCCTTCTGCATGTCCTGGCACCTGCATGGATGCAGTTAGTGATGGTCTCCAAAGCACTTTGAAGATGAAAAGCTGCTTCTAGGCAAAACATCATGGATGTGGATGGTACATGCATCCTCCTCCAGCTCCTGTCCTTAGGAATACCATAATCCCAAATGCCACTGGCACCAACCCAAGAGAGAAGCCACAACCTCACCATGCTGCAGGGTGGTGCCAAGGCAGGTGCTGGTGACCTTCATCATTTCCTAAGCACAAATTTTAACAAAACCAGCTTAAATTCCATGAATTTTATTTAAAATAGGGCAGACCTCAGTGCCTTCAAGAGAGGGATCTCATGCCTGGTAGGATCATGGAGCAGATCCTGCTGGAAGGCATGGTGAACCCTATGGAAGCAGGGAGGTGATCTGAGCCAGCCATCATGGCTTCACCAAAGGGCAAATCATGCCTAAGGAAGTGGCCTTCTATGGTGGAGTGACTGTGTTGGTGGACAATGAAGGTGTTACAGATGCCATCCATCCAGACTTCTGCCATCCCTGGAAGTGTTCCAAAGCCGTGTATTTGAGACCCTCAGTGCCAGGGGTTAGTGGTGGCCTTGGCAGTGCTGGGGAATAGTTGGACTTGATGAGCTTAAAGGTCTTTTCCAGCCTGGTTCATTCTGGTATCAGCCTTTGATATGGTCCCACACAACATTCC